GAGAGAGAGAGAGAGAGAGAGAGAGAGAGAGAGAAAGAAAGAAAGAAAGAAAGAAAGAAAGAAAGAAAGAAAGAAAGAAAGAAAGAAAGAAAGAAAGAAAAGGAAGGAAGGAAGGAAGGAAGGAAAGAAGGAAGGAAGGAAGGAAAGAAGGAAGGAAGGAAGGAAGGAAGGAAGAAGGAAGGAAGGAAGGAAGAAGGAAGGAAGGAAGAATAAAGTCTATTAAAAAAAAAAAAGACATGAGCCTTCTTTTTCCCTGTTCTACAGACTCAAGTCACCTCCTTGGAGTGTCTTCCTCCTTTGCTCATGCCAGAACAATGGAATTTGCAAATTTGCCTTTTCCACTCAATCACCCACTGGTTTTGTTGTTCCCGCAGTAATGTTACTCTGATAACTTCAAGATGAGCAAAGCCTTTGAGGATGTTTCCTCAAGGATCAGTTCCTTAGTTTCTGAAGCACATGGGGCACCTTCCGCTGCTCTTCACTCACATTGCCTGCCTCGTGAACCGTTCTCGCCCACCAAGCATCCTATTTCCAGGAACAGCGAAGTCAGAGAGCAAAGGCCAGGACGGGGACAATGATGAACCACATATTATCTTCTCTGGCAGGAGATTTGGTAAGGGAGGAATGTAACTAACTCCTGCACATGACTGCAAAACCCTTCAGGGCAGAGTCTGTTTCCTTCATTGCTGAACTCATCCCCAGGTCCAGAGTCTGGACCAAATGAGTTCTCGATAATTGCTTCTGAGCACATTTTTATGGCACATGTATAGTCTCATTTGCACCTCACGGAAGCTCTATAAGGCAAATGGGGAAAATATGGTAAAATAGAAGATCCCCCATCTTGCAATTAAGAAAACACTTTCTCATAACTTTTGGACCTTTGCTCAGAGTCCCTTTGTTCAGAGTTTACAGCCATAGACAATGCACAGCTTTCATAGTCAGGCTTGTATCTGAATCTCTATTTTACCACTAATTCACTGTGAAACCTAGGGTAAATGGTTAATTTCTCAAAGATCCTAAATTCCCTCAGGTCTAAAACAAATATAACAACTCCTAATTTGAGAGCATGTTGTAAAAATTAAATGAGGTGATAAATAACAAATCTAGCACCAATCAGTTGCTCAATACACATTGTTCTCTTCCCTCCGCTTTGCCTCACTTGCTGATGTCAGCCCTGGGCCTTGCCACAGCTGCATGGCCATCAGCAACAATGAAATCGATCACAAACAAACGATAGTGAAAGACAATGAACTCAGGAAGATGAATAACTCAATACTTTCCACCCAAGAAATAAAATGAACAATGTTGAAGACAGCATTCCTTGTTTGTGTGATGATAATACAAATACAACTTTTAGTGAAGCAGAGCATCATGGAAAAAAGAACATTCTCACTGAATTATGAAACCTATGGGACAGATATACTTGGAGTCAGTAGTGGTACACATAGTATTGCATCAAGTAAGTTATGATGGTTTTTCCATCAAAGTAGAAGCCATTGTTGCTAACATTTACAAATATTTTCATATAGACACTGTTAGAGAAATGAAGTTACAAAATATTTTGACCAAGATAGGATTGAATAGCCAAAAAAAAAAAAAAGGAAAACCCTTTTGCAAAGCAGCTCAGCATTCCTGGGTCTTATCCACAGCATCGCAGAGGTATGTAAGCCTTCGAAATGCTACTTTTTAATCAACCTAAGTGATCTACAATCATATTGAGCTCGTTTGTTTAAATGTTCCCCAAATTCTGATTGTATTTATTTAAAATCAGCTAGAGATTTTGTATCTTTAGTCAAAGCACATAGTGAAGCCTTCGACTTTTGAAGGCTTTAGCAAGTTCCAAGTATTGAAAACAAATCTTGCAAGCTGGATGGCATTGAAATATATCCCTTCCATTGGAAAGGAAATGCTAAACAAAATAAACAAGCGAATCTGCTTCCAAGATGTAATTCTGAAATTACATAATTGTGGCTTGGAATATATTGACTTGTAACAAGACTCTTTTTGGTGGAGCTCCTGATTGCAATTGGATAAATTTCTGTTTGAAACTGGAGGAAAATAATAAAATCAATCATTTTTCAGCATTTAGATTTGATGAAACATTCAAAAGTAGCATCATTTTAGGATTTTTCTCCTGTAAAAAATTGTCAAAGAAAGATATTCTAACTGTAAACAAAGATGCACATGTGAAAATACTTAATTTCACTGAAATATACAGCTTCATGTAAAAAAAATTACAATTGAGAATATCCTTCATTTAGCAAAATTTTCTTAAAGCCTGTTAGACACCTCTATGAAGAAAAAGAACTGTTCCCATCAAAATATTGTAATTCACTGCAACAATCTGAATGATCTCACTAACATGATATTGAATGAAAGGTATCAGACACAATAGACTACATACTGTATGATTCCAAATATAAAAGGACAAAGACAAGCAAATTAATCCATGCTATTAAAATTGAGGGTGCTGATTGGAATGTGCACAGAAGGGTTTCAGGGATCGGTGATGTGTTGAATCTTGATCCAGTGCTAGTAACTCAGCTGTGTTAAGACTGTGAAAATTCGTGTATGATATTAATTTTTCTGAATGTTTGTTATACTTCAATGGCATTTTTTAAATATTATGAACATTAAGAATATTCTTAGGCATGACTGTAATATTGCAATACCATTACCACATCTAAGAAAATGATCAATTACCGCATCCCATAATTTCACATCTAGTCCACATTTGTACTTCTCTTATTTACCCAAGAACGGGCTTCATTAATTTTATTAGTTTTACTCTGGATCCAATCTAAGTTGAAGCACTGCGTTTGATTGTTACATATTTTTACATTCTTTTAATCTCATACTGTTCTCCTTCCTTTTCATTTGTTTCAAGACACTGATAGTTGAGTAATTAATATAATTAATAAAAACAGTAATTAATAAAAATAGTAATTAATAAAAATATGTTCTACATTCTAGATTTGTCTGGTTGGTTGCTAATATCTGGGGCAAGGAGACCTGGCTTCCAAGGATACATGTTTTGTATAATCCCTTCCCCTAGAATGAGGGGAGGCCCTGGGAAAATGATAGGACAGCACTTCTGTTGCTAGGTTACCAGATATGGAAGATGTATATAGGGTCTCTAATTAGTTGATAACTGAGTTCATCAAAAGGGAAGTTATCCCGGCTGGGTCTGACCTCATGGAGTAAGCCTCAAAGAGAAATTCAAAACAGCAGAGGCATCTCCTATGTACCCCAGCCTGCAGCTACAGATGACTTGGGCACCACAGTCATACAACTGCAAAGCAGTGAATTCTATCAACAGGCTGCTGGGGCTTGTAAGAGAACTTTGAGTCCCAGGCAAGAGTAATGCCCCACCCGGTGAGTGCTCTGATTTCAGTCGCAGGAGACCCTGAGCAGAGGACTTGGATAACCCATACCCTGAGTCCTGTCTCATGGAAATTATGAGATACTAAATATGTGTCATTTTTGTTTGTTTGTTTAAAAATCTTTTTATTTCTTTTATTTCTATTGAAGTGTAGTTGATTTACAATGTTAGACAGCAAAGTGATTCAGTTATACATACACATATATTTTTTCTTTTCAGATTATTTTCCATTAGATATTACAAGAAACTGAATATATTTCCCTGTGCTATACCTTGTTGCTTACCTATTTTATATATAGTAATGTGTATCTGTTAATCCCCAACCCCTAATTTATCCCCCCTGCCCCACCCTTTCCCCTTTGGTAACCATAGTTTGTTTTCTATGTTTGTGAGTTTATTTCTGGTTTGCAAATAAGTTCATTTGTATAATTTTTTTAGATTCCACATATAAGTGATATCTTATGATATTTGTCTTCCTCTCTCTGACTTACTTCCCTCAATATGATCATCTCTAGGTCCATTCATGTTGCTGCAAATGGCATTATTTCTTTTTTTTGGCTGAGTAATATTCCATTGTGTATATATATAGCACATCTTCTCTATTCATTCATCTGTCCAGACATTTAGGTTGCTTCCATGTCTTGGCTATTGTAAATAGTGCTGCTATGAATATTGGGGTACATGTATCTTTTCAAATTATAATTTTCTCCAGATATATGCCCAGGAGTGGGACTGCTGGATCAATAAATGTCATTTTAAGCAGCTAAATTTGTGGTAATTTGTTACTCAGCACTGGAAAACATTCATGTCACCCTCCCTTGTATT